GTGGTTATACTTGAGCTGGGCCAGGTGGGCCGCGTAGCCGTCTGTGATGAACTGCAGGGGAGGGGCAGTGAGGTGGCGGCTGTCACAGGGCAGGGCTCTCGTGGCTGCCCCCCTGTGCTGCCCACCACGTTCTGCCCACTCACCTGGCACTGCTGCTGCAGCTTCTTGGTGGGCCGGCCCACGATGTAGATCTGCATGGGGGACAGGCTGATGGAGCTGTAGACCACCACGTCCTTGGTGGAGCCGTAGGCTGCGTGTGCGCGCAGGTGCAGCTGTGGGCGAGACCAGTGTGGGCCCGGGCACGGGCACGACCTTCTGCCCCCCACCCCACCCCACCCCTTCTGCCCAGGACCCACCTCGGAGATGAGCAGCTTCAGGAAGTTGGCCTTGTGCCGCAGCGGGTCGTGCACCAGGCCGTCACAGAAGGACACCACGCCATGGGGGAAGTTGTGCTGGGCCAGCCACGCCACCACCCGCTGCTTCTGCATGTCGGGCCGGCCCGTGACATAGATGATGAGGTATCCCAGGTCCTGCCAGTGCCTGGGGGTGAGGGGCAGGCCTGGGTGTCCCACAGCCACCCGGACCCCTTTCCTGGGCCGCCCGTCACCTTGCCCAGCCAGCCCCTACTTGGGCCACAGAAGAGGGCATCTCTGGCCCGGCTCCAACAATAACAGTAGCAACAACGTGGTGGCGGCCCTTGTGTAGCACCCACAGCCTAAGCCACACCATCCCACAGTGCGCCAGGTCTTGTGAGGACCACTTTCCAGGGAAGGAGACTGAAGCATCAACATCAAGAGGTCAAATGAGCCCTAGCTGGTGTAGCTCAGTGGATAGAGTGTCAGCCTGCGGACTGAAGGGTCCCATGTTTGATTCCGGTCAAGGGCACATGCCCAGGTTGCAGGTTCGATCCCTAGTGGCGGGCATGTAGGAGGCAGCCGATCAATGATTCTCTCATCATTGATGTTTCTATTTCTCCCTCTCCCTTCCTCTCTGAAATTAATAAAAGTATATTTTTTTAAAATGAGGTCAAATGAAGCCAGGCTGGTGTGGCTCAGCAGTTGAGCGTCGACCTATGAACCAGATGGTCACGGTTCCTGGTCAGGGCACCTACCCAGGTTGCAGGCTTGATCCCCAGGGTGGGGCATGCAGGAGGCTGCCAATCGATAATTCTCTCTCATGATTGATGTTTCTCTCTCCCTCTCCTTTCCTCTCTAAAATCAATAAAAAAAAATTTTTTTTTAAATGAGGTCACGTGACGGTCACACAACTAGTAAGCGGTGGTGCTAACTTCAAGTTCCCTGCCAAATGTCCCCTCCTCTGGCACCCGGGCCCACCCACCACGCCCCTCGGGACCACTCACCGCACCACGTCCACGGCCCCGGCCCGCACTTTGGGGTCACTGCCCATGATGGACACGCTGGCGGCAAAGGAGCCGTCAATACTGAAGACCACGAACTCCGTGCCCCGGGGCAGCACGGTGATGTAGCTGTCAGCAAACGTGTGGTCTCCCCTGGGGGGGGGGCGCCCATCAGCACTCACCAGCGCCCCTTCCTGTCCCAGAGGAGGCCGCCCACCCGCCTGCCCGTCCCATGAGGCGCATACCTGACCACCATCTTCACGGGGTAGACGCCCACGCCCAGGCGGTGAGTCTCGGGGATGGTGTAGGACACGCGCCCGCTGCTGTTGGTCACCAGCGTGTCCAGGTACAGCCACTCGCCCGAGGGTGGCTGCGTCATGATGTGCACATCCACCTGGTGCCGGGCAGGCTGGTCACGAGTGGGCCGTGCCCCTGGCCTCCCACCCCCACCCCCGACCACAGGGAGGCAGGCAGGCAGGGGCTCCCGCCGTCTCCCCGTGTCCTCACCTTCTCCCCCGTCAGGGTGACCATGTCCAGGGGCCCGTACATGAACCGGCCCGTCAGAACCTGGGGGCCATCCTCGTTGGCCACCGCGTCATTGATCCGGTGGTTGGCTGTCACATTCTGGGAAGGGGAGGAGGAGGCTGGGTCAGGGTGGGGGATGGGGGGCGGTGGGGGTCTCCTGGGCCCAGCTCAGGCCTCCTGTGGGTCTGTGGGGGGGGAGCTGGGCTGAAGGCCAGAAAGCCCAGGTTCGAGTCCAGCTCGACCGCAGAGCCACGTGGCCTGGGGGAAACGAGGAAGCCTGCTGCACCTCCCTGTCTGTACACGGGGCAATGGCTTCCGTCCCACAGACCGAGGGTAGAGACGGCACGCTTCCCGTGACTCAGTCACCGCATCTGTGAGATGGGTCTCCCCGTGAGGGTTCCCCAGGACAACACGCCTGGGGCGCAGGCACCCAGAGGACCCTCACCCGCAGCTTCACGTGGGTTCTCTTGCGCTGCCACTTCTCTCTGGGCTTCGAGGGGGTGAACACCGAGACCTCCTTGCCGTCCAGCTCCAAGATGCTGGCGCTGTCGTGCCTCATGACCTGGGAGGGAGGGGAGAAGGCACCTGGAGCAGGCTCGAGCCTGGGCCTCCTGTTCTGGGATCCGAAAAGGGGAAGCTGTTGCCCGGCCGGCGTGGCTCAGTGACCCATGAACCAGGAGGTCACGGTTCGATTCCTGGTCAGGGCACATGCCTGGGTTGCGGGCTCGATCCCCAGTAGGGGGCGTGCAGGAGGCAGCCGATCAATGATTCTCATCGTGGATGTTTCTCTCTCTCCCTTTCCCTTCCTCCCTCTGAAATCAATTAAAAAACAACAACACAGCAGTAGTGCACAAGATAGACTGAAGGGAAATGCTAAAACCCAGGAGATTGCTGGTGTTGCTCAGTGGTTAGAGCATTGGTCCACACACTGAAGGATCTTAGGTTTGATTCCTGGCCAAGGGAATGTATCTGGGTTGCGTGTTCAGCTCCCAGCCCTGGTCGGGGTGTGTGAAGGAGGCAACCAATCGATGTGTCTTTCTCACATCGGTGTTTCTCTCTGTCTCTCCCTCTCCCTCCCACTCTCTCTAAAAATCAATGGAAAAATATCCTCGGGTGAGGATTATAAAAAACCGAAACATTAAAAAAATAGGAAGCTGTGAGGGTTTGGGGGCACTATTCAACCCACTAGAGCCCACCCTCTGGGCCCCCCAATTTTACATGTGTCCCACGACTGCAGATGCATTCACCCCGCCTCAACTTCCCCACAGGTTCTTCCATCCGCTGGCTCTTGTCCCAGGGGGTCAGAGGGCAGGGTCCCCACCGTCCTCCTCGGCAGCAGCCCTTCTGGGTGCCTGGCGGAGGCGCCCATACCTGTCTAAGCAGGAAGGAGACCACGTCGGTGGACTCCCAGTAGCTGGCGTGGAAGAGGTGTGGCAGGGCCACGGTGGGGAAGGCCGTCAGGGCATCCGGGCAGTACAGGGCGTAGTCGATCCGCTTCTGGCCCCACCACTTCGCAGCAACTGCCAGGAGGAGGCAAGGGCGGTGACTGGGCTGGGACCCCAGAGGGTCCCCTGATGCCTCAGGCCCAGCTCAGCCCAAAGACGGAGACCCTCCTCCAACCAGGGAAAGGGCAGCGGCCGAAGCGAGAGTCCCCCTGCCAGGCTGGGTAACAGAGGGGAGCAGGGAAGGGCCAGGAGGCAGGACAGGGGCGAGCAGGCGGGGCACCAGGGGCAGGTGGGGGTGGGACTCAGAGGGGGAGGGGAAGAGCCCTTGGGAGGCAGGGCTCCTATCCCTGGTCCTGTCACCGATCCTGGTGACCCTGCCCTGGGTCCCACTGCTGTGGTCTCCTGGGCCGGTCCACCCCCGGCCTCTAGGCTGTGAAAGGCTTCCCATCAGTGGTTATTCTAATCCTGGGGCCCACTCAGCACCTGGGAGCTGGTGAGGTCAGACAGGCGAGTGACCCTCCACTCCCACTCGGGGCTGGCGACCACCCCGGCTAGAGATGAGGCTGGGAAAGTGCCCCCGGTGGCCACACGTGCAGGAAATGCCCAGAAAACTCAGTAAAGGGGGCCCCTGCCCTCTGCCGGCAGCCTGCCTGACCCACAGTCCTGGCCCCCCACCCCTCATTCCAGCTCCATGGCCCCCCCAACTCCAGCTGCTCCTGCCTCCTCCCTGGATGTCCGAGGGCTCCCAGCCCAGCCTCTGGCTCCCCGGTTAGGCCTCAGCGGGGCAGGTGAGCAGAGCCCGGCAGTGACATGTGCCTGGAAACAGCAGTGACGCCAGTGAGAGGAGGAGGCGCGTGTGCGTGGAAGGCATGTGATGCCCGGTACCTTCTCTGATGTCCAAGTCGGGGAGGTGGGGGTTCCCCCGCCTGGCCTGCGGGCGGGGACCCGGG